GCCTGTTGAACCCAGCAGATAATGCTTTTCTTCTTCTCCTTTCAGGCATCATCAGCGGAGTTCTGAGTAACACCACGATGCAGCAGGATTCTACTGCAACAACGGTAACGAATACAGTTACAGTTTCCCACATCTTATCCACTGTCCAAGCCTCAACCGCACAGTCTATTGAAACGCCGGAATCCAAGGCAACGACTAAGATACCGCTGGTCGATCCAGCAACTGTTCATAAAGAAGGATCTACAGAACAATCAGCTACAACCACCACACCTTCTACCACTGTAGCAATTGTCCCTACACCGCAGTCAACCCCCAGTGTGGCAGTCTTAACTGCATCTACAAGCCCTTCTGTTGGGCTTAATAATCCCGTTACCACTGTGAGCTCCACCACCCCAGAGGTTAAAACCACAGCTAAGGTGGTGAACCAGCCAACAGTGCCTCAAAGCACTGCTACCACAGTGCCTGATTCAATAGTGCAGACCACGACGGTGAAAACCAGCGGAGCCTCTGGAGTATCGACTGAAAAGCCAGGACAACTTGGTATCAAGGAAACCCTCACAACATCTGTGGCAGGGTTATCAGCAGGCAGAGATACCCAAACAACACCATTAACAAGGATGGACGACAGAAACATAGGTAAGGCATGTTTTTACCACAATAATATACCCACAGAACATCTAAAGTGACAAAAAATAAAATAAAAAAGGGTATTTACTTATGGTTTTGATGCCAACATCAATATTCCCAGATCCTGTTAGCTGCAGGATAAAGGGCAGATTATACTTCTGCAACTGCACACATCAAATGTCTCTTGGGTCGCGAACCAGTTTAGCTGGTATGCTTCTGCACCGTTGGTGTGGAATTTCTAGGGACGCACAGCAGTTTCCCACCAAAGCGCTAGGGGGAGCCTATTTTAGAACTCGCGAGAACTTCGGCGAATGGTCACGAGAACTTTTGCAGCACCGGCGGGAGTGTTTATCTGCCGAAACATCAATGGCGCGTCTGCAGGATATCACAATCACGGAGATGGATCTAGAGTTGCTAGACATCGAAAAGGATAAGGGGCTACTCAAGCTGCAGGACCA